TGAACACATACTTTATAAAACGATCATGTTGGTGTTTTCATTTGAAATTTTACTATTTAATATAAAACATATTACAGTGCATGTGGCATACCATACCAGGACTCCAGACTGCGACCAATGGTCGCATTTTGCTACCATTTTTTCTGCCGGTGCGTCTAATTTTTGTGAGCAGTCGCACTGGCGCGACCACCGCGTTGTCCAACTCATAAGCGCTGCCATTTCTATTGCATTTGAGAAACATCAAACGGCAATCGAAATGAAAGCGAAACTAAACCGCGCTACGTTTCAGCTGCGCAGCGCGAATTGTTTATCAGCTCAGACCGCGACGCAAACAAACGAGCTCAGAACAGCTTTACTCGGGAGCCAAAGTTTATTTCGCGACACTGTTACTGCACAGATGCAACAGTGCTACGAGATCTAGTGAGAAGCGCTTGAATTTGCTGCACAATGATAAGGTTGCTGCGAGATCTAGTGAGGATCATTCAAATTCTGCACAGAATTCTCTGTTATAAACAGCGCTGACATACGTCAGGAAACCAGAAGTGGTAAGGCTAACTGTTACCATGGTGTTGTGGTAGAAATAATCGAATGCATTTCAGGGTTTGTACAACCTTTTGAGAGAGAAATTCAAGAACTTTTCAATGACTTTCAAGCATTTCACACAACTATTTCCAGCACCTTAAAGCTCTAAAATGATCCAGTTTGAATGTTATATTTAATGGGATGAACAAAATATAGTTTGTGGTAAACAAACACTTATGTAAAATTAAAAAAATACATCAAATCACAATTATAACCAGTAGACAGCCTTAGTGCTTTACTGTCAAATCTGTATAAACAATAAACAAAAGAAAAATAAACAAGAAATGAACATGAAATATTTTTAGTAACTGCACTTATTAATGCAAAACAATAGCAATTTTATGATTAAATGATCTTTACTTATGTTTGAATGCCCCCACACACCACTCCCAGCGCTACCAAATCTGCTCCTGGCGCCACCATCTGTAGAACTTAGTGGCGCTGGTATTTTAAATATTTTTAATGTCCTTTAATGTTATCCATCTTTTTTTTTTTAAAGTATCGGTTCAGGCACCGGTACCATTTTAAAATTATCGATTTGGCACCGGTATCGTAAAAAACCAATCGATACCCAAACCTAGTTCCCATAGCGATGACGTCATCGCAGCATTGAAGTGAACCTATGAAAGGGAACATCTCGGTTACGTATGTAACCTTGGTTTCCTGAATAGGGAACGAGATGCTGCGATGCTGGCCGTTCCGTACCTTCGATAGCGCTTTCTTCGTCATGTGTAAAATCTGATGAAATTCACATGATGAATATATGAGCATACGTGATGAATATATGAGCATACGTATGCTCGGGGCGGTGCTAAGCGCTATTGGCCAATGAATTGGCGTGATGGTATAAGGGCTTCAGACATTCGTCACACCGGAGGTGTTCCCAACCAAGGTTATATACGTAACCGAGATGTTTTCATTCGAGTTTATGAAATTGTGGATTTTTTGTTCAGACATTAAGCAAGCACAGGAACAGATAGTTATGGTTTATCTATTCACTTTTGTTTTATTTTCATCTAACTTTAATTTACACATGAAAAAAGCTGTTAATTTACAGAACAAAAAGACTGAAATGTGAATTATTTTAGGGCAAGAAAGACAAGAAAAAAGTACAAGTAATATTAATATTCAACAGACAATGTTTCACTTGTATATTTATCTTGCTATGGCAATTTATCTTGCATCTTTCCAGATAAACTGTTTTTTTTTATTTTTATTGTGAATGTACTGAGTCTGCCCTTTTTATCATTCTATTTATTATGCTTGTACAACCTTGGTTGTATAAATGTGCTTTAAAAATAAATAAACTAAACTAACTAAACTAAACTAAATTAAATTCAGAAATGCAGCTATGGCAGCACAAACTGCTGAATTCTTTTTTTTCTCCAATCTGACAACCGTTGGATGGACAGACAAATCTCAATCGTATCAGCTTAAAACACGACTCCCACTAAAACGACAATGTCACACCTGCACAAAGATTCTCAAGTCTTCATATAAACAACGTTTGTTTGTGTTTAGTGTGCGATGATGACCTCCGATGCACGGGACGCCCCCTTTGTGCATCCATGCATGGCTCTAATAAAGGCAAAACAAGTCCGTCAGGCTGAACTCCAGCACAGGTGTCAGTGCTTCTCCAGAGCTCGAGTGAGGAGCTGATTCAGCCGCGAGATCATCGGACGAGGGTCTTCGTTCAGACCAGCGGTGATCATGGCGTTGTCATATATCTGGTATGTAAAAATGGCATGTAGTTTTTAATTAGAGATAGGATTGAGATGAGAGAGTGGGGGGAAACGGTTTCTTTACCTGCTCGAGGAGAAGCTGTGCCAGCTCAGGGTTTGAGTCCTTCAGTGCATGAAGCTTCTTGATCAGATCATGTCTGCAAACAAACGCTTGATGTTAGAGAAACCACAGCATTTCTACATGTTATGCAAGTACTAAATGCTTCATGCTTTAGTTCAAACAGCTGATAAAAACATCACAATAACCCATATGTAATCCATAATACATGTTTGTAAGAAACAAATCCATCATTAAGATGTTTTAACTTTAAATAGTTGTTTCCAGCTAAAATACAAGTCCTCTATTCATAACATTGCCTTCTCCAGTGAAAAAGTCACGGAGAGAAATATGCACAGATCAAGCACCGTTTACAAGTGAAAAGAGTCGAAAACAGCTCTAAACAAATATTTCAGTGGATTCTGATGTGAGAGGACAACAGGAGATTGACTAATTCACTGGAGGAAGCATTATTACGGATTTTGGACTTGTATTTTGGCCAGAAGCAACAGTTTAAAGTTAATAACTTCTTATTGATGGATTATGAAAAACAAATGTAAATTTGTTTTCATTTGTATGCATATATACATATTATTTGCATATATTACATATAATATACATACAATTAAAATTAATGTTAATGCACATAACTGCATTTTGGATTAATTTAAAATAATGCATATTTGAGACTGTTAAACAGTGTAACAGCCTAATTAAAGTTAAAATTATGTGTAATGTGTATAGTGTTGAATACTAAATAAATTAAAACTAATTTTATTTTGTTAAATGTAGCAGGCTAATTAAAAATGTAAAATATAATGCAATTAATTATCTAAACACTTTATATTTTCATAGTATGTACATGCAATTTTTAAAATATAGTTGCTTTTTGACTGATGTTTACTAAAAGTTACACAATCTTTGCTACACAATCAGTATAGTTTTTTGATGTGAGTAGAAGCAAATGAATGAGAAAGTAATTTAGTGTGCTTAACTGTAAATGTTTAACCAATTAAATATAGGACCAAACAAGTATTGTTTTATAAATATTGAAATATAAATACAGAATGATTAATAGAATAAATCAATAATAAATAAGCATTAAATAAAAATAAATAAATATTTAAATTAGACTTTGTTCTTTAGAAAGTTAAAAGGTTAGAGATTAAAAACCATGCTTTTTTAAAACAATGTTATTAATTTAATATATACTGTTATATTAATTAGGAAGAGTGACTCTGTCTTAATAAAAGGTAATAGGTTTTAATATTAAGTGAGCTCTCCATTTTTTTTACCCTGTGGTGTAAAAGAACAGACAGACATTAAATTAAAAAAACATGTTTTTATGTTATTATTCAATATATATTAACATATTATTAAAGGTCCCATGACATGCTGCTTTTGGATGCTTTTATATAGGCCTAAGTGGTCCCTAGTACTGTATCTGAAGTCTCTTTCCCGAAATTCAGCCTTGGTACAGAATTTCAGCCACTACGAGCCAGTCCCACAATGAGCTTTCCTAGCCACTGGGGGACCATAGGCAGGCTAGGGGAACTCATATTAATGTTAAAAAACCTCATAAAGTGAAATTTTCATGCCATGGGACCTTTAAAAGTTTAATAAAATTATATTATTAAATGTAGATTTTTATATTATGATGTACATGTAGTGGTTTAAACATTTACAATTATGCACCATTTGAATCTACTTTCTTAAGATGAAAAAAATTGAGACCTTGGGAAAACAACTTTTTATCATTTTTTGTCATGTGACCACAACAAAATAGATTAAATTATTTAATTAATGCATCTTTAGCCTTCCATTAGCTGCTGACCAATACTTTTGGCCATTCTGAGATAAACAGCAGCGTTGGCGCCCCCTTGTGTTCATCTCAGGATCTGTCGACAGCCTTGTCAATGGATAATGCACAGTTTATGCTTTCAAAATAGAAGTCAACTGAGTACATTTTTAATTGCAAATTAATTAGCACTTGTTTCCAGCAAATCTGCAATGCATTGCATCAGCCTTCGGATCAACTTGTAGATTCATCACCCATTTTCTCTCGAGTATGACAGAGAATATTAACTGTGTACCTGATTGTCTCTAGTCTCACCTCCATATCTTTCTGTTTCATGGCCTCAAAGTACGGCGAGTGCTCGGCCAGGTGGCGATTCGGCGCGCACAGATAGTAAATGTTCCTCGTTCCCGCCTTCATCCGAGAGGCGTACTCCATCAGGCTGGTCTGCTGTCCCGCAGGAAGCGCAGACGACTCGAAACGCAACAGCTTAGCGATGTCTTCCTGTTACGACATAATCAGCTGTTTAAACACAATCAGAGAGAATCAGGTGGATTAAAAAGGCTAAACGAGTCATCTTGCACCTTGACGCTCTGCTCCGCTGTGGTGACGATGCCCTCGCGCATAAACAGCCCGTAGTCATCAAAGAAGCGAGCGTATTTCTCCGGATCCTTCTTGCTCTGGTCCAACAGGAACCGAATGACCCGCTGCTGTAAAACATCCCGCAGTTTCCTGAAAGAAAACAGTCATTTAAATTTAATGTATTAAAACTTATTGTAATGTAAGTTTGAATGCATATAATTGCATATAAGTTAAAAATGTACAAATTAGTGCTTTGAATGCATATTTCAGTTGTTATTTTGTAGTAAAATGACATTATATATTATGTTTAATAGATAATATTTTATAAAAAGAATGTAAATAATGTAAGTCACAGTGGTTTAGCTGCTTTAACGAATAAGACCGTAAGCTCATGATATGTGGGCAAGAAAAATGCCCCTGCACAACTGAAATAAATGCAATGATTTTAGATCTGCTCCCGTTGCAGATTGATTCTATTGCAGATCACGTTGATTTAAGACTACAATGGCCACTCAGAGGCATTTAGATTAGTCACGTCTGAAGAAATCATCTGAGTTTTGTTCACTGTTGTTAAGTGTTAAAGGTTCAAAACACTGTTTGTTGTTACAAGATGAAAAAAAAAACATGCAATAGAAAGATATGTAGATGGTTGATTGTTTGCATGACTAAAAAGTGTGAGACAGAAAACAGCTTTGGAATTATGCAAACTATCAATAGAAAACCTGTTCTTTATCTTCTTTCCTAAGAACGCAATTGGTCTCAAGACTATTTAAATAAAGTGATGTGTAACGGAATATGACATATCTTGAAAAAAAAGTATCAATAACAGCTGTTTAATCTGATTCTAATGCTTGATTCTGTTCTCGAGCCCCTCACAGAGCCGTGATGGAGGGGTTGTATGGGCTGAAGGTACCTGGATGGTGAAGGTGCCTGTGGCTGCATCTGTCTGCAGGTGGATCTCCATGGGTGCCGTTTCTCCTCCTGCTGTGATCATCTTGTGCCGCAGTTTCTCCAGAGCATCACTGCCGTTTGAGATCAGCTCTCTGATGAACACCTAACACAGCAGGTGTGTGTCAGAACATAATTGAGTCTATTAGATGAAGTTGCAGTCTGATTCATGTATTTATATGATTTTTCTTCTGTTCATGCATATATTATTATAATTTATATAGATATTTCTCGGATAGGTTTCTAGTTGTAAATCAAAATCCAATCCTTGAAATTAAATGCTATATTTATTAGTGCAAAAACTTCTCCAATGAGAGACAAATGATGATATTTAGCCATATCAAGCTGATTAAATATGTAATTATTTTATTCGTTTTTGATCAAATAAATCTACAGGGTGGCCAATATATTGCAGATGTATACATAATACAACTTTATGATGACAAATCGGATGAAATCAAATAATCAGCCTGAAAAATTTATTGGTTAATCACAACACAGTCTTGAATGCTTAAAGGTGGGGTATGTATTTTTTCAAAAACGCTTTAGAAAACTGATTCGGGCCGAGTACCAAAACAAACGTGTAGCCAATCAGCAGTAAGGGGCGTGTCTACTCATGATGTGGAGGAGAGAGCGTTCCGCGGCACAATACGCAACGCGTAAAAAGACAGTATAAGGGCGTGTTCACACTTGGCGTCTTATTTGGCAAGAAAAAGTCGACAAGAGCGCTTTTTTATTAAAATAAAAAGCTGGTAGCGTTTTGGTTACAAATAGCAGCCGAGGGCGTCTTTTGTTGCTATAACAACAGCTGCAACAGTAGCCTAGCGCTATATGCTGCAGAAATGTCGAGAAAGAGTAAAAAGTTGTCTCTTTCGTTGCCTTTTGAAGTTAACGGGGAGGAGAATGTCGGTTCACAACGATGTTTGTGGGTGCGCGACATTATACGGGGAAGGAAACAGTATGGTGCTTACAACAATTTAGTCCAGGAGCTCCGGTTGAATGATGCACGGTTTGTGGCATATTTTAGACTAAGTTAGATACAGTTTTGTGCTCATATCATACAACTCCTTGTGCTCCGAAACTAGTACGAACTAATCTACCGGCTATCTTCTCCATTTTTCTTGTTGTTTTTGTTGTTATGGAAACGACTCGCCACTCGCTTGTCATTGGTCAGCTGTCAAAAAGGCGCTTGACGTAGGGTGTTTTTTCAGAAAAGTTTAGCTTTTTTTCAACTTGAAAAGACGCTCTGAGTTGCAGAAAAAGACACCGGCGGTGGCGTTTTAAAAAGCGCTCAGGACTTTTTTGAAAACACTGTTTACTCCATATGATTATAATGTAAAACAGACGCTGGCAGCTTCAAAAAAGACGCCAAGTGTGAACATAACCTAAGTCATTATAATCCGTAATTATGTCCCCACTGGTGATTTTTGTGATTTGAAATATCAACATTGGCTACCAGAAATCACTTACCCCACCTTTAAAGAGAATTGATCAAACAGGACCGCATTGCATCTGTTTTTTGTTTAATTTATCACCTCTTTCTCAGAATACAGCGATCTGGCCACAATATCCAGCAGTTTCTTCGTCTCTGCTTGAAACTCGTGTTTGGAGTAGGATCCTTATTTGAACAAAGAAACAAAAGTTTAAACATTCTTATAATTTCCATATGCTACGGTATGTGGAGTATGGAACTATAATTTAACTATATTACTATAATTAAAATTTCTGAATCTTTACCATTCAAATGTTTGGGATCGTAAGATTTTTAAAATGTTTTTTTTTTTTTTTAAGTAAGTCTCTTATGTTCACCAAGGCTGCATTTTTTAAATAAAGCAGTAAAAAAACGGTATTATTCTGCAATATAATTACAATTTAAAATAACTGTTTTCTATTGTAACAGGCCTATATGTTTAAATGCAATTTATTCCTGTGATGCAAAGCTGAATTCTCATCATTACTCCAGTGTCACAAGATCCTTCATAAAACAGTTGTGCTGTTCTTTACTGTCACTTTTGATCAATGTAATGCATTGTTGCTGAATAGAAGTATTAATTTCTAACCAAATAAATAAATAAATCTGTCTGACCCCAAACTTTGGTTTACCTTGAACGTTCTCGGTGTCACTGATGATTGTGTGGAGCGTCTCCTCCTCTGTGCTCTCAGCCTGTTGTGTGCTGTATCTGCGATGAGCCACACTGACCCCAGCAGCACAGCTGGAGCTCCAGAGTCTGGCAGCTCTGGTGTGAGGAAGGTGCTGTCTGACATTAGTGTCAACTGCTGAAGAAAAAGAGAGAGTCAGAATCAAACCGCACTGATGTTTTATTAACAATATAGAGGGGTTTGGATTTGATAATTGCTACTGTCAGTCTATGCTCAATAGTTTTTACATCTGCATACGCAGGTAAATATGGAGATTATTTACAGAAATCGATAACATTACTGAACATGTCCAACTGAGCAATATAGACTTATTCAGTACAAAACTTGTTTATTTTGTCAATGAGACAAATACACTTTTTTTTTTTAAAGGAATAGCCTGTGTTTGTTTGATCAGAATCATTCGTCCCCTTTTATAATATTTCATCACGCTGCTGTTCTGATTCACTGATCATTTTATTTAACGGCTAATCCATGATAAACAAATGAAACATGTACCTCCAGTGAAAGTCGCGACCCCTCTGCTGGATGATAACAGCCTGACATGAGCCCTCTGAGAGACATTCAGAGAGTATTTGAGTAAACTTAATGATCGGATCATTTCTGCTTCTGCTGTAGTTTGACCTATAGAAGACTGGAAACTACGGCGTGACAGGCGTACGGTGAGTGAAAGGACCCTGTTGACGCTCACTGATGACGTCTGCGTGTAGTTCGATACATGCCTGTGTAAAATGTTTTAATGCAATTTCTCGAGCGGCTTTTGGAGAAAAAAAGTTTATTTTGACCCCTTTAAACGCCATTGGTCTTTAAATAAAGTGATGTGTAACGGAATATGTCATAGCCTGAAAAAAGTAGCTTTTACAGCTGTTTAATCTGATTCTAATGCATGATTCTGTTCTTGAGCCCCTCACAGATTCCTGATGGTGTTGTATGGGTTGAATGTACCTGGATGGTGAAGGTGCCTTTGGCAGCATCTGTCTGCAGGTATTATTGGAAATAACTACATATTATTGGCAAAATATTTTATGCATAAATGTAGATTGCTTAAACTAGGGTGACCAGACGTCCCGTTTTCCGGGGACAGTCCTGGTTTTTGGTTTCCTGTAACCTACTGGAGCTGTCGCCGGAAATGTCCCCGTTTTACTGCAAGCTCAAAACAACCCACAAATACACTGTAAAAGCCGGGACCAATTTAGCCAGCTGGCTACCGCATGATTGTGATTATTTTCACCAGCAGAGGGCGCTGCGAGCTACTGATTACTTGGTCGCGCGTCGCTACTGTAGGCATGAAAGCTGTGTCCCAAAGTTAAGTACACACTCTTCGAAGGGCACGGACTTAGAAGGCCACGCCTCCGAAGTGCATGAAGGACGCTCCGCCTCAGCAGGATTGCTCTGTCGCATAGCGACGGTGCGAGAGGAAAGCTGCCATCCTGCCAGGATAGGTGGAGCCAGAATTGCTTGAATTTACTTCATAATGGTAAGTCGGGGAAGTCGTGGCCTAATGGTTAGAGAGTCGGACTCGTAACCCAAAGGTAGCGGGTTCGAGTCTCGTACCGGCAGGGATTGTAGGTGGGGGGAGTGAATGTACAGCGCTTTCTCCCACCTTCAATA